CATTTTGACCTTGACCTAGGAGTTTGACCCAGTTTTACATAAAAATCCAAACTTTTACTTTGGCCATATCATTTGAACATTGGATACCAGGGTTGTAATAATTTACATATAATTCACATATATAGTTTTGTTAAGAGACCTTTCATTGTATACCAACAACTTTGACCTTGGAGATTTTAGTACTTGTGAAAAAACTTTAACCTTGGCCATAACTTTTGAACGGTAAGGCCTAGGGCTTTCATATTTCACCTAATTGATCTTTGTGACAATAAATTTCATTTGATATTAAAATTCTTGACCCTTTGACCTTGACCTTTGAGTTTGACACATTTTTACACAAAAAATCTAACTTTTACTTTGACACTAATTTTTTCAATGATAGATTCTAGGAATATCATATTTTAAATATCAAGTCTTCGTGACAAGAGCTATCTATTGAAACCAACAATTTAAACCTTTTGACCTTAGAAATTACACATTTATAAGAAAACTTTCCATAACATTCGAATTGTAAGATTTAGGTCTTCCAAACTTCACTTACATGTATGTAGTCATTGTGAGAAGACCTTTCATTGGATTTCAACACTTTTAACACTTTGACTTTGACCTTGGTTTTTGACCTACTTTTTACAAACAAATCGGAGTTTATCCTACCTTTAAAAACGCTTACCTTGGCCGTTACCTTTGAACAGGCTGTGCAAGGGTTTTCTATGTCAGATTTGTATTTTTTGAAAAGGCCTTACTTTATGTATCAACATATGTGATCTGCATTTGAGAAACCTTAACTTTCGCTATGTTGCCATAAGAGGGTATCAAAGTTTCACAAACACATCTTGTTATTACATGTTGTTGTTTCTTGGAAGGATTTAAGACGTAAATCCCATACACCTGGGTATATACGGAAACAATTAATTCATCAAATGCATACAATAACAAAAATATTTTTGTCAAATTTCTCTACAATGTAATTGATTAAAAACTTGATACTCTTTAATCAAGAAATATGTAGATTATATTTTAACACCTTTGATAAAAAAGTTATTTAGATTTTTATTTCTGCAGTGTATCAAAATTGTTTATTTCTATTTTCAACCATAAACATTATATTCCTATGATATTCAAATTGAAATAAAGTTTGGCCTAGGTTTGCTTATGCTCGTTAGAAGATATTCTATTGTTACACGTACCACGACGCAAAAAAGAGAATACTTTCCTTCAAATGTCTACTGAATTTGGATACAGCGGATCAAATCATATAATTTTTAGAGCATTCAGGATGTAAAACAACAACTCATATTGTATCGGTGGTGTTTCAAATTTGAAGATGATATAATTTTTTTCTTGTCCTTTTCTGCAGAAGTTGATCTCAACGGTTCATTTGCATTTCGTGCCAATGTTTTGACATTTGACGACAATGAAAGACTCATTTTTGATAATTGGACACAAGTTACGTATCAGAACTGGAATTCTAACGACGAGGGCGAGACAGCAGTTGACCCAATCTTTGGCCTCCTTTTGATTTATCATAACGACGGAAGATGGCGCTGGGTGACTGAGAGAAACTACACGTACTATACAGGAGAAGACGGACTAAAACTCCCCTTCATTTGTGAGGATTCTCCATTTTATTTGGAGCATGAAGAGTGTTCTGTTACATAATGATTCATTCTCTTTACATAAAAATAAAGTTTTGTAACCCTTATCTTTGTTATATAATTTCACTAAGCATGGTGTATAAAGTTCTAAATCATTAAATGGAGTATTCTTAAGTTAACGTCAGATCGTTTATTCGTCTCCTCGGAAGTCTTCTAGATTTATCCTCGGATTGTATTTTCGTCTCCTCGGAAGAGATCTAGGTTTATCCTCATGTTTTAAATAAACTATGAATAGCATGTACACAAAGACAGACAGTGCATTATATTGTTTCGTTATTTTCCCAAGGAAACTGACTGGGATCTCCTCTAACCATACATACAAACATTTTAGCTCAAAGTGTTGTTTTTATAATTTCTATCCGTTATCCAAAAAATAAGGGGCAAATATTTGTTTGTTTTGAAGGTCGGTCCATCTGTCTGTTTGTTTGTGATTTTTTTTCCTGATTTATCTTAATTGGGGAAATCAATTATCGCTGACTACAGCCTTTAATTGGTTTGAGCTATGGATTTCATATTTCACAGTTTTTTTCTTTATTTTGACTGTCAATTTGGAATTTGAGCCTTTGTCATATGAACTATGGCTATAATATTTCACTGGTGTATTCAACGTGTAAAAACTTTTCCTAGTGTAAAAGTATTTTTGACTTTGACCGTTATGTTTGACTCACTTTTAAAGAAATTTTCAAAATTTTAAGCTCAGCCATAGCTACTACACGGTTAAATCAAGTGATATCATACTCCTCACGTTCATATTTTGATGAGACCTTCTCTTGAGTACAAGCAGTAATGACCTTTGACCTTGAACTTATGGATTTGACCTACTTTTCAAAAACGTAAACTTTGGACGTATTTACTGAAAATTTAGTACAAGGGGTTAACTATTTTACCGGTTCATTTCTTGTCGTAAGAGCTTCTCTTGAATACCAATATTTTCTTTTTATTTTTTATCCTTTTATTTGGACATCAGACTTTGACCTACTTTTAAAAACTTTGGTATTAACTTTTGAATGGTTGATTCAGTGACTTTTATATTTCACCTGTGTATTCTTTCTGAAATTCTTTTAGGCATCCTTGGTATTGACTCCTTGACCTTGTCTAGTTTGCCTACTTTGAAAATCTCTAACTTTGGTCTAAAGTATTAAACTGCTGCTGCTTTTATGGTTTTTATTTCTTGAAGGTAGACTCATTGTGAGGAACTTTTCTTTTGACACCAAAACTAGTTTATATTGACCTTGGTCTTTGACCTGCAAACGACAAATATTAATCATAAGCCTCTTTGTTTCACAAACTTATCTTGAATTTTTATCATTAGCTCCTAAAACTTTTCCTATTGATTTAATAACAAATTTCAAGTTGTAGTCTATCAATTTCTTGGATATATTGGTATATAAACCATAGTTTACACATTGCATAATAGAGAATGACTTGTAACACATATTGAATCATTTTTGTAAAAGATGTAGTCTCATAATTGCAAAAGTATTTGCAAACATATTGATTAATGTTAGCTCACTAAGTTTTTTTTGCAAAGGCAGTTGCAAATATAAGATTACATCTTTCAAAAAATAATGAATCATTGCTTATTTTTTTCTAACTCCTTGTCTTGTTTTGCAAATTTGATTTTTTTTTCTAACTAACTTAAATTATCTCTTAATAATATTAAGTCACAATATTTTCAAATTTTGCTTTTAACGTTTGTGACGCGGAAATAAATAGAGAATATTACATACTAAAATCCATATCATATGTCATATCAGCCCTCGGGCAGATATGGGGCTACTCGGGCTGATGTGACAGATGATATGGATTTTAGTATGTAGTATTCTATTTATCATATATTTAAAATACTTAATATGCGAGTTCCCATATGGTCGTTGAAGAATGTTTTTGCTTGCTAGTGACATTTTTCTTTAAAATTTAATAGAGCCAATTTTAGGTAACTGGAAAAAAATTAAGACCACAAATGTCATTAAAGAATTATTTTATATGAATTTAAATAAAACCAAGCAAATTAACTTTTAAACTTAATACAAACGTTACTTCCTGTTTAAAATGGATTTTCGGCCCGCCGGTCCGATACGTGATATGGCTTTTCGGACCGGTCCGTGATATATGGTATTGTGTTGTCACTCGTATCACACCGTGCAGAATCGATGTATTTACTACTAAGTATATGATAAAATGCATATTACACATGTAACCTTTTAATCCCCGATCTGTGTTACGGTGTTTTGAAATTTAAAAAAAAAAAACACAATAAGAAATTACAGTATCGGTATAAGTATACTATAACGTATATTGTGCATTCAAGATGATTATTTGTAGCAATAGAAGATAGTGATCTTCAGAAAATGTGATTTTTTTTATATCTTAAGCTCATAATCTAGTATCATTGAGAATCTAGTATCATTGCGTTTCTTGCCACACCTAAAATTTAAGCTATCGATATATATTTATGATATAATTAGATTTGTGGAAAGAAATATTCAATACGCCTCACTTCAACATTTTTGCTGATTTCCTTCATGATATTAAAAATAACAATAATTTCAATTCAAGCGGTTTCAAGTAGATTAATGGATAATTAAATGCAGATTCATTAAAAATACTGCATGGATAGAAAAGATAGAAAAGATGGGGATAAGTTTTTGGAGAAGTATAATCTTAGATGTATTGTACCACAAAACATGATCATCAAATATACCAATGATTTTTTTTTTTAAAAAAACATCTTAATATCTTTATTACAATGTAACTTGTCTTATCCGACATGCACGGGGAACAGATATAAAATATATTTGTCGGAATAAACAAGGTGTAGTATTGCAGCGTGTAAAGATCATTGAGATAAGTATAAATTACAAATGAAATTAAATGGCTGAAATCACAGTAAAGAGTATTGCATGTGTCGGAATAAACAGGTTCCACTGTAATACGTTTAACAATAAAGTAATCTTCATCCTAATTTTCCGTCCAGTTATCTCCATTTATCAGTGTTCGGAAAAAAAAAACGAAATATTTCTATTTTCAAATTTATTACAACACATATAAAGTACATCTTTTACTGAATACATTCAGTATCGCTTTACAGTGCAGTTCAATCCCCTTTCTTTTGCTGTTTGTTACTTGATGTTAAATATTGAAAATAAGAACTCAGCGATAAAAATTAATTTAAAATCGTCTCTTGAGGCTTTTCATAATCCATGGATGATCTTTCGTCTGTAAAAAAAATAAATAAATACTTCACAGATAAATGTATGATAGCGTATTTTTTTCTATTTAAAAAAAATTGTCACAGTAATACAAAAAAAAAACTTTGTTATATTATGATTAAATGATGTTTACCTAGCGACGCCTGATCATCATGAGAGTCGCCTTTATCTGTTTATTATCAGTCACTGTGGGAAACCATGGTCTGTACCAGGACTCCGGGGACCATTGACCGTTAAGGAAGGCGTTGTGGCAGTAGTTGAACCACCAGCCTCCTCTTTGGTCACTGGCAGCAGCACAGTGAAAACTAGCTTTGTCGTTATCCTTGTCTGGGGTGGAGAAGTCCATCCCAGACAGATCTCTGTAAGAATTACCTGTATTTAACATGGCGTCTTCTGTAAAATTGAATAACAAGAATCACATAGATAATGAATTTATATATATTTGTAATCTAATTGTCAATAATAATACTAAGGCACATCTAAGATAGACAGCTTTATGTGATGGAAAGAGTGATGATATTTATTTAGTTTAGTCCTTGAATCCCCGGTGTCTATCATACTGGCACCTGCAGATTAAGAAAAACAATATATAACAGAGATATTAATTATTAATTTACATCACATTAATTTCACTACTGAAGTACGTCTGAGATACGCAGTTTAAAGTGTTGTTTCTTGTAAAGAGAGATAAAAATAATACAAGACAAAAAACCTGCGAAATTAACATAGCATCCTTTCTAGTGTAACAATAAACAACAGACCTGTTACACTTTTTAAGCATGGTATTATTGGGGGGGGGGGGGATAAAGGTCACTGGAAATTTAAGAAAGCATCACAAAATGAAATTTTAATATTTTCCCGAGACCGTGTCTCTAAACAGGTATTACATGCAATACTAAGTAAATCATTAATAACGAGATAAAATATGGTGCATGTGTGAATGTTATAAGATGGTAAATTTCCTATTGAATAAATGTAAATGTGAAACGCGTTGAGGTCTTTTGAGTTTGACTTTTTAAGCTTTTTAATTTGAATATTTATCCGATAAAAATTTTTTTATCATCAAATTTTTGCAAACCTTAAGACATTTTAGATTAATGACGTACTGTAAAGTTCCTACTTAGTAAAAAATGTGAATCATTGAAAATCAGACTAACGTGCTCTGTAAACTTTTTCCGTATCAGTTAAAATGTGAATTATCAAAAATTATCAGGAAACCCAAGCTGAATAACAATGTTGAACAAATGTTATTTATTGGATTTGTTTGTTAAAAAAATTAACATAATTTTCCTTGTACATTAAATGTATAATTAGATATTTTATCTACTTGACAATAACAAATTCAATATCTGCTGAATATATGAATTGTATCTGCGAATGAAACTCTGAAATATTAAACATGTTTATTTAGAGTGGAATAAAAAACGTATACAGAATATAAAAAAAAAAACACATCTTTCTTTTTTTCAAGAACTTTATAATCTTTCAATACAGAAAAGAATACTTATGATAATTATTATTGATAATTATTATTTGAACCCAATTTTAAGAACATAACATGAATACACTTACCTAAAGTTCCAATGGCAGGTCCTGCAAGAAAGAGTTTATATTTTCCTGCTTCGTCCGAGACAGAAAATCGGTCGTACATTTCATACAGAGCTGTACCATTCTGGAGAGTGATGGACACAAACAGGGATGAGGTGTTTCCTTTCGTTAATTTATGGATTACGTCATTCCCTGTATTAAGATATATTTGAAATCATCTGAGAAGTTCATCGAATACAATTAAATATTTTTAAAATTAAATGAATCTACCGTAATGAAAAATCAGATTATTTTCCATAGCTGTAGACATTGTTAAATTTTGTCTCATTAGAATATACCGCTAAATGATATTCTTCATTTCTATTTTTTTATTTGAAATATCAATAAAACACGATATCTGAATATCATAGAACACACATTACCTGGTCTTAACTTTAGATCTTCATTAGGCATTATAATTTTTTACTTGCCACAAGAATTTTTTTTATCTTAAAACTTTGAAGGAATAAAAAGTTTTTATTTGAAACCGATTTACACTTACCAATCCAGACATTCTGTTCTGGTGAACCAAAGCCATTTTTATATTCCGTCCAGGTCCTGTTAAATCTCACGGACCCGTCTACGCGTTTCTGAATTGCCTGTAAAAAGTAACATACATTACATTTCAATTTATTGCTTCGAACATTCGTAGGATCCATTTTTTATGAGATAAACTACAATACAATCCTAAAATCCTTAAAACCACCAAAACAAAGTGTGTTATATTAAGTACTTTTAATTATAAAATAAAAAAAAACCTACCGTCCATCCACCGCCCATCGTGGTCATGTCGCAGTGGACACTTATTGGAATGGTCAATGTTCTGTAGGGGTATATATCATACACCCCTGTGATGGTTTGTCCATTTTCTTGAAGATCTTTGCAATCTTTGGGCATGCTAGAAAAATCATAAAAAAAAAAAAATACAGGAAACTTGATAAAAAAAAATCCTGTCCCCTCGAGAAGGACCTAAAAAATCAAAGAAGCTAAGAGAATAAAAAAAACAAATATACATACCGTTATCTGAGTAGTATCTCCAGCCGGCCTCCTCAGACGTACCAGACGTTAGACTTTTCTTGTGTGTACGGCATTTTTTCATTTTAGGATTAAAACCAAAAAACACGCACTCCCCTTGACACATTGCGGCGCACTCAGTCAACGACTGAGCATTATGTTCCGCTAAAAGGTCATTGTTTGATTTCTTATCGTTAAAGTCAAGTTTCGCAGCATATTTTTGAGAAATAATGGTGGCTTTAGATAAAGCTAAGAAGCCTACAATTAAAGTGATAACCCACTGATTGCTCATTTTTTTGTTGCGCAAAAAACTGCTGCGTTCTTGAGAATCTGTGGAATTCTACTAAATGGTCTTTCAACAGCCAGATATATATATCGTACCATAATCAATGTCTGAAAAGCGATTGGCTAACTGTTACGTATTCTATATTTCACTATTGTTTAGGTATCGATTTTATCGAAGTTCATATAAATTGTCATAAATTTTCATCAACTTTTTTTTGAAATTGCAATTTAAAATTTAACAATGAATGGTGTTCTGTTTTTAATTTAGTTAATGCCTGTTATGTTATGATGTTGTACAATGTTTTTTTTTTGTTAGCTACAAAAGTATCTTTTAAATATGTAATTTTGATATATATATTCCTTCATCAACTCAAACTGAATGAAATTGGAAATCAGCAATTTTCTAAAATTCAAAGTGAAAAATTATCTAACTCTAAGACATTATTAAGAATTTATTGATCTATTTCAACTTTGATACATAAGCCTCTAAATGTTAATGTAACACTATAAATCATCATTATTATATTTATTTTTGAGTCTTATAGACGTACATTTGTAATATATATATATCAGAGAATTCTATAAGGATACTTTTAAGCGTGTTAAATTTTTTTTAAAAAAGTACTTATGATAGATGTTCAAAAAGAATCGTAATACGTTGTTAAAATGACAAAGGCGTCAAGACCTGAGGGAGGGGGGTGGGGGGTGGGTGGGGCTTAACCATTATATAGACAGTGGTAATTTTGATTTACCTTTTTTTTGATATGCCCCCTCACCCACCCACACACTTTCGATTTACCCCCCTTTAAACTTGCTTCCGACGCCCATGAATGAGACCCAGATTGGTAAATTTCTTTAAGGAAAGGAAATAATATAAGTTGTAAAACGTGTTTCCGAATCCTGTTTGTATTATCTACTGTGTATACATAATGTCTAATTTCAATGCCATAAAATTAAAATTTAAATGGTGAATAGCTAATGTTGCACATGAATCGCACACTTATTATTTTAACTTAAAAAGGCAAGTGGTCCTCGGGCTTGTTGAAATAATGCTTAATCTGCACATAGAGACAAAGAAACAAATCGGGTGCAATGTTAAAGCCTTCAGTTAACAAGTCGGGCGTAATGTTCTTTAACCAGATGATAAAAATAGAGATTAAGCGTCATGCTATCGTCTTTATGAAACTCTAACATCAAATATTTTCGAGGTTTAAGAAAAATATATTCGTGTATGAGGACTTGATTTCATGGTTAAAGAATTGTTTAATAGTAATATAGTTGGAGAAATTATATTATGATAGACATACATGCATGGGTCTTTTATTTTATACCTTAAGAACCACGGAAATAAATACCTCACAGAAAATAGTGAATTCACAGTTGTTTACTAGGTAAGCAAAGACGTAATGAAAAAATCTACACGTGCAATTTTAAAAGCAGTTACAGCATAAAGCTGGCAGAAATGTTGCCTTAAGTAAGAACGTCAACTGTGACAGGTCAAGTTGGATGCAGGAAATAATTAAAAAGAAATATTTTCTTGTTTGAAATATCTTGAAATAAACTTGATTGTCAATACATTTTAGCATACGCAAGCAACTTTATTTGCGGTCAATATCACTGTATGTATAAAGTTGCCGTGAATAGAAAACTGTTTTACATTAACGGTCTGAAACTTTCAATTTTTTCGATGAGGCATATCTTTCATTATGCTAGATTACAGAAAGTTACTTTAAAACAATGCTAAGTTTTTAACAAAGAAGACAGTCGAACAGATGAGAACTAATGTTATCATTTTTTACCATTCCTGTCAAATTTAGGAAGTACAAAGGTTACATGATTGAGCTTTTTCTGTAAGTCAAGGCAACGCAGAGAACTGCTAGCAAAAGGACGAATAAAAAGTCGGCTGCCACTGAAAGAAACCATAAAAAACGACAGGAGATATATCACAATCCATTAGTCAGAGATGGATTGTGAGTTTTCAGTATTAAATCCGCAAGTAAAAAGCCAGGGTTTTTGCAGGGATCGTGTGACCAAAAGAGAACCATATGCTATGGAGTGTTTTTTTTTTTTGGATAAATTATACATTATAAATTATACACAGTCTTCAAAATACAGATTATTCTCATATGTATTATAGAATATAATGAAATAAATACATAACACGTATGAAGTTATCGCATAAATGTTATATAAAATCAACAAGAAAACTGTGATGTATCCATCAATTGTCAAAAACATAAAGTAAACAATTCCTGGAAATAATACCCCATTCCTACGACGAAAAGTTGCTTATGTGTGCAAATTTACACATAAGTAAATCTACATAGGTAAGTAAAAGTTAATTTGCTATGGGTTCAGACGAGAGTTATGTACAGTAAGTTAATCCCCACATATTCACATAGATTAAGAAGATGAACAGATTCAGAATTGTGAAGTTTTATAGAAAAGGGTTTTTCCTTTCTGTTTGAGTATAAGACTAATCTTTAAGACCAACTTTTAAATCTTCCTCACTGATTTCTTTGTACAACTCAATTAATGACTTTAGGGAGAAAGAATGGTATAAGAATTAAACTCGAAGAAGCAAAACGTAATAAAATTATCAACATGAGCTGCAAGATTGACATAGGGAATTTGTATTGCAAATTTATAATCACTTTTTTCAATGATAAAAAAAGAACATTTATAAACTACAGCTACTCAAATTTGCGATGGAAGAACTTTTATATATAAGCTTTAATTATAGCAAAATTTTATTATTGTCGTCCTGTGCACTATTGATCTCTTATATAATGCTCTATATTCGATTGTACAAACACATTTCTTCTGATACAATTAAAACAATTTACTTTGGTTTTATTAATCACAAGGGTTTAAATCATATACAAATTATATTAATCATAATAACACATATAAATAGCAAAAAAAATTTCTCAAAAATACAGTTCATATTGCTTTATTGTTGGAAAATGTCTTTGCTTCCGTATCAAAGATTGTAGAAGAACCGTTGGGTGTATAGAAAAATTCGACTTGCCATCTACTAGTTGACTTTTATTGGCAGAAATAGAACCATTCAAAATATTATTGCTGTTGGGAAATCTTCAGTATGTTAAGTGTGCGAGGCCATTATAAAATATCTGCTTGAATATTTTATTAATAATCATATATTTTCCAGTAGAATGAAAAGGGTGAAAAATCTAACAGTGATCGATCTCAAAAATCTTTGAACAATACAAATATGTCAATAGGAAACTAACAGGAAACTCTGGAAATTCATGATGAGATCAGGTGTAAAGGTTACTTATGAATGCTTACTTTCACTAGTTTATTGAAATTCCTCTTACATTAATCTATATATAAGTAGCTTCCCTGAATTAAAAACAGAAAGGTAGAAAAAAGTCACCAAGAGCTAAATGGTAATAGGGCTGAGCGATTGATGGGATGCATGTTCCTATCATAGCTCCCGAACATTCCCAGGAAAAGAACTTGCATAGTAAGGGGACTACTTTTTGATCGTACAGGACACTTGTTTAGTACCACAGCTCTATATCTTTAGAGACATAAACATAGGTTTGCAAGAAAGGTTCAAGATGCCCTCGTTTTTGCCGATTAAAAAAGCTGTCTCGATGGGGATAATAGCTCCTTGTTTTTAAGAGTTTTGCCTTATATAGTCTTCAAGTCGGCGTGTGGCGCAGTGGTTTGTGCGTCTGCTATAGAGTCGCAATATAAGGACTTGATCCTTACATCGCAGGTTCGAATCCCATTGTTGGGAGTGGAGTCCGATCCTTCGGATGAGACCGTATAAACGGAGGTTCCGTGTCGCAGCAGGTGCTGTCAAGGAAAAGATCATTCCCTGCTAAATGTCCTTGAGTGCCTAGTAAGAATGAAGAATTCTCGAGAGGGAGTTAAACAATATACAATTAATCAATCAACCATGTTTACTGACTGATATTTTACACTCCATTGCATACACAACCAAAACAACACTTAAAATGAAAATTTATAAATTAAACAGAACAAAATACGTACATAAGTAAATCTGTTGCATGTTTATACGATACAATTTAAACACATGAACTATTAATTTGCTACAATGTGTATGCATAAGTTAATCTACACCTAGTCCAGACCAGGTGTAAATTTACTTAACTGTGCAGAATCTGCAAATGAGAATATCAGTTCATACAACAGAAATTGCACATGTGAGTAAATTTACTCATTTGTAAAATATATTGAGGTATGCAAATCATGTCGTATGAATGGGGTATATTTCTTGATAATCAAACCACTTCTATTTGTTGATAAAAACATGCCTCTGAATCATGGATACTATAGTGGAGACGATTTACAGAAAGTTTCTAGTCAAAAGAAAATAACACAAAAACGAAACACTTTTAAACCTTTTCAATTCCAACAGCAAATATTGCCAGCAGTATATAAATTATAATCAGACACATGATTAACCTATCAGCAAAAATCTATTTTACTTAATAAATATAAAACGCAAAACGTGTAACGTATGTATTTATGCTATTAGTAAAATTTAATGTCCTAAATATGGTATCTGTCTTTTTTATCAGAGGAAATGTTAAACATCTTTATATATAAAATGTAAAAACATATTTTTTTAAAGGATGTACTTCATGGAAGTAAGTATATTATGTATATCGTAATTTATGAAATAAATCAATTACAAACCTACATTCCGATAATATTAAGAGGCTGTCCACCGAAAAACCAGGCAATAGGTGGCACATGGCATGTCATGGATTTTAATTATTTTTTGCATGTAGACTTCTTTAAGCAAGTGTTCACACATGACAACATCAAAAATTTTTTTAGTGATCCTCTAGTAATATTTTTTGGTAAATGTATAATTTTAAGTGCAAAAAGGTCAACATTAGGGTAGAGAAAATACTACGTTTTTATTTTGTTTTATATGTAACAGATACTCAAAAGCTAGATGTGTCAATCAGTATTATTTATAGGAAAGACTCTTATCTTTTATTT